ATTATTCAGATTTGTAAACCAGGTTTCCAGTGCTTAATGTCTGATGGGAGGCAGTGCTGAACCCACACAGCAGTTACACTTTCTGACTTGGGAACCTTTATCCCTAAACTTAAATGGCCAATGCTGGTAAACTCACAAATGAAAAAAAGATACTCTGCATGTGTTCTGAGGCATCAACATTACATATTCTAGTGATGAACCCAAATAAATCTAGCCTCAGTTTGAAATCTGCATACATCTTTCAGGTATAAAAGTATATTTAAAACAGGATCTACAAAGTAATTAAATTGAATCTAACAACTAGGTCACACTCAGTTTTCCAGAGCCCACCCTTGCGTACTTTTATCTAGAAGCCCTGCTGAGTGGCTGGAGATAATTCTGATCTAGGGTGCACACTCAGTCCAAGAGTGATGTTGAACAGGAATGCTGGGCCACAGTGTTGGTTTCTGTGAATGAAAGGTTCATCTGCCCAGCCAAGAGTCACCTGCGATTTTGCACTACAGTAATTTCAGCAATGGTAAGGAACCAGTCTTTCAAGTAAGATTGCCTGCCATTAATGGTGTTTTAATTGCGAGATCCTTGATAATTTTTTAAGAAATTGTACATTCCCTGGAACACTCTGTAATCTGTTGTCAAAGGCTTTTACAGCAGGAGTTCATTCATTGTTGTAGATTTTCTGGGCTCTATGGCTGTGGTCTTGGCCTTGTAGTACCTGATGTTTCACCAGCAGCTGTGACTGGCATCCTCAGAGGTATCTCTATATATAATGCTGTTTTGGTCGTGGACTCTTCCACACGCTCCCGAATCAGTTGGCTCACTGGTGTGTCATTCAAACGGCGTCTCTACCCACTGGCTGCATTGCCGGCTGCACTGCTGTCGTCCTGCCCACCAAAGCACCGCCCAGTCTCTTGGCCTCAGTGTGCTTGGAGCCAGTTGCCGGGCAGGACGCTCCAGCGGGTGGGCGCTCATCAGGCCGAGGCCAATCCTGCCGGCACCGCAGCGGACGCTGTCGGCCAAGCCTGCTGCAGGTACCTGCCTGGGCTGCGACCGAATGGGGGACGGCATGCCACTGGGGTGGATGACGATGGAGGCGGCCCAGAGGCCCCCGGACACGGCCAGGCACGAAGCCAGTGGCGGGACCTTCCATCGCCCCTCGACCCCGGGTTCTGGGGAGGGGGGAAGCAGGGGACTGGGGGGCATCTGTCACGTCTTTCAAGGGTCCATTGTATTTCTTCTACAATGAACTTTGCTCCTAGTAACACAGAAAGATGGAGTACTCTCTGTGTCAAGGTGAGAAGAAAAATGGTAGGCAGGTAATTTATATCTACTCGGGAAGGTGGGGTAGGGCTGAGCCATTGTCTTGTAGGAGTTTCCCAGGCTGTGACATGCTAATGGAGGTGCTTTCCTGAGGAAGGTTCTTTTGCATATGGATTGGCTGTTGAAATTCTAATCTTATCTGTAGTGCTGTTGTAAGATGTAGAGCATTTTATGTTTTTCAGGACAGGCAACCATGCCCTATTTATTTTTAAACTCTCTTCTTTCCTGTTGAAATTGTGTTTATGTTTATGAATTTCAATGGCTTCCCTGTGTAATCTGACATGGTAATCTGACATGGTAATCGGATGTGTTGTCCAGCATTTCAGTGTCTTCGAATAAGACACACTGTCCTGTTTGAGTTAGGCTATGTTCAGCCACTGCTGATTTTTCAGGATGGCCAAGTCTGTAGTGTCTTTCATGTTCGTTTATTCTTGTCTGCATGCTACGCTGTGTGGTCCCGTTATAAACCTGTCCACAGGTATACTCCTGCAGAAGTGAGGAGGTCTCTGCATTTTTTTTGCCGATCGTAGCATCTGTTGTATTTTTGGGTGGGTCTGAATACTGTTTGTAGGCTGCATTTTTTCATACTGATCATCCCATCTGATCAGTGATTCCTTTGATATATGACAAAAACACTTTTCCTGTAGAAGACTGTTTTTCCTCAGTTGTTTGTTTTACCTGTTGTAGCAAACTTCTACATGGAACATTTTGAAAACACAGCTTTAGAATCTGCACCCAACAAACCTACAGTCTAATTCCAGTATGTAGATGATACCTTTATCATTTGGAGCCATAGAGAGGTAGAATTGATGGAGTTTTTAGACCACCTCAACAACAACCTAAAGAGCCTCTTGCTCAGGGTCAAAGAGGAGAGCGCAAAAGTGGGCTTGAAGTTCAACATAAAAAAAAAATAAGATCATGGCATCCAGCCTCATCACTCTTTGGTAAATAGAAAGGGAAGTCGTGGAAATAGTGACAGACTTCACGTTCCTGGGATCCCAGATCACCGCAGACTGTGACAGCAGCCATGAAATTAAAAGACGTCTGCTCCTAGGGAAGAAAGCGATGGCGAACCTAAACAGCTTGATAAAAAGTAGAGACATCACCCTGCCAACAAAAGTTCACATGGTCAAAGCAATGGTATTCCCAGTAGTCATGTATGGCTGCGAGAGTTGGACTATAAGGAAGGCCGAGCGCCGAAGAATAGATTCTTTTGAACTATGGTGCTGGAGAAGACTCTTGAGAGTCCCTTGGACTGCAAGAAGATCAAATCAGTCAATCCTAAAAGAAATCAACCCTGACTGTTCCCTGGAAGGCCAGATAATGAAACTGAAGCTCAAAGACTTTGGCCACCAAATGAGAAGGGAGCACTCACTGGAGAAGACCCTGATGCTGGGAAAGATTGAAGGTCAAAGAAGACGGGGACGGCAAAGGATGAGATGGTTAGACAGTGTCATTGATGCAACGAACATGAAGTTGAGCCAACTTCAGAGGACAGCGGAAGACAGGAAGGCCTGGCGTGATCTGGTCCATGGGGTTGTGAAGAGTCGGACTCGACAGTGCGACTGAACAACAACAAACAACATCCACCCGAACATACAATCTAACATGGAAAAAGAAATGAAGGGTAAACTCCCATTTCTAGATATATCAGCCATCCGCAAATCTAACCATCAATTACGTCACAAGGTCTACAGAAAACTAACTCACACGTATCGTTATTTACACAAAAACTCCAATCACCACCCTTGGCAAAAAAGAGGCATAATCAAAACATTAATAGACCGTACAAAATGGATATGTGACCCACACTTTCTCAACGATTAACTAAATCATCTAAACCTAGCACTTCAAGCAAATGGCTAATCCAAGAATGAAATCAGAAAAGCGATTAAATTACCTGCCTACCATTTTTCTTCTCACCTTGACACAGAGAGTACTCCATCTTTCTGTGTTATACCTCTGAGGATGTCAGTCACAGCTGCCATGAAATGTCAGGTACTACAATGCCAAGACTAAGGCCATACAGCCCAGAAAATCTACAACAACTAACTCTGGAATCTACTAAAATGGGATATTTGTTGTTCAGTCGCACAGTTGAGTCTGGTACTCCCATCTCTTTAAGAACCTGCCATAGTTTATTGTGATCCACACAATCAAAGGCTTTAGCAAAGTCAATGAAGCAGAAGTAGATATTTTTCTGGTACTCTCTTGCTTTCTCCATAATCCAGCGAATGTTGGCAATTTGATCTCTAGTTCCTCTACCTCTTCGAAACCCAGCTTGTACTTCTGGCAGTTCTCTATCCACGTACTTGAGAATGACCTTGCTAGCGTGTGAAATAAGTGCAATTGTGTGATAGTTTGAACATTCCTTGGCATTGCCCTTCTTTGGGATTGGAATGTATACTGACCTTTTCCAATCCTGTGGCCATTGTTGTGTTTTCCAAATTTGTTGGCAAACTGAGTGCAGCACTTTAGCATCTTCCTTTAAGACTTTGAATAGCTCAGCTGGGATACCATCACCTCCACTAGCTTTGTTGTTAGTAATGCTTTCTAAGGCCCATATTAACTTCGCATTCCAGGATGTCTGGCTTGATGTCAGTGATTATACCGTCGTGGTTCTCAAGGACATTGAGGTCCTTCTTGTATAGTTCGTCTGTGCATTCTTGCAAACTTTTCCTAATATCTTCTGCTTCTGATAGGTCCCTACTGTTTTTGTTCTTTATCATGGCCATCTTTGCATGGAACGTTTCCTTGATTTCTCCAATTTTCTTGAAGAGATCTCTAGTCCTTCCCATTCTATTGCTTTCCTCTATTACTTTGCATTGTTCATTCAGGAAAGCCTCCTATCTCTCCTTGCTGTTCTCTGGAATATACTTCCAACTAATTTCACAGTCTGAAATAACCAACTCATCTTAACCACTCACTGCACTCCTAGTAATGCTTGTATGTATCTAGTCATACCCTTAAAAAGGTATTTTCCTTTGCTTCAATGCTTTTTAGTTCAGGACCACATACAAAAATACATTTTTGTTCTAACACTTCAACATCACAAAGAAAGTAATTACATTTATCGGAGCTACTAGTATCATGACTATATTTTAAAACTGAACATACCTATTGCATTTTTAAAAACAATCCCCAGACTCCAAGGAATTCAGGATTCTTCCCTTCTCATTTTAATAGATTAGGCTGAAAGACTGACTGACTCAAAGTGAGCTTTCTGGCTGACTGATTGGACATTTGAACCCAGTACTAGTGTGATATTCTAACCACCCGCACAACTGGTTTTATATTGTCTCTTCCAGGATTTCCTATTTCAAGCCGGACCCATTGGCTTATCTTTGCAGAACCACGAACACCAAATGTCAGTTAAACTGAAAACCAAGCTTTATATTTGGGCGGTTTGGGGAGGTTATGAGCAGAAAAGTTTTAGATGGGAGAAGCTATAAGCTTTACAGATAAATATAAAGTTATTGCGCTAATTCACCTACAACAGATTCTCAAAACAAACAGCTTGCCTACAAACAGGAGCGCGCCTCGTAGGTCCTGCAGTATCCTAACCCACATCCACAGACCTAACGGTAACTAAATGCAGGATTCAAAATGCTTTCTCTGTTTCTAAAGGGAACAGCCGCAACCACCTCTCACAAACACACCCCATCCGCGCAACTTGGACTCACTGAGGAAATAAAGTCGCGTCGACGGCGCCTGTCGCAGCTACTCCCATAAATTACCTCACTCCGTTATCATCTGAACGCAGTGACTGAACAAACGTCAAAAGAAAACAAAATGCTTCTGCATGAACTATCGCGAGAAACACATACGCTCCTTATTAGGTCACGCTCTCACCCGTCTTCCAGTGTTTTGCTTGTTCCTAAGCAACCAACCCTCAACGACTCTCCGTTCCGGTCAAGAAAACGGCAATCTACCTCTCGCGAGACATCTCTCGAAATCTGCTTTTCTCGCCCTCCTCAGAAAATTAACTCCCAAATCTCGCGGCCATTTCGCGGAACTCTCGCGAGACCTGACGCGGTATCCCCTCCTCCTCTCGTAGAACACGATGCGAAGAAGGAATGTGAAAGGCTCCCGCCCGTCGCCATTTTCTTTCTTTCTTGGCAAGCAGGGAGCGCGGTAGGAAGTGGTGAAGCGGACATGGCGGATTATTCTACGGTACCCCCTCCTTCTTCGGGCGCGCCCGGGGGAGGCGGAGGAGGTGGCGGGGGAGTCAATGACGCTTTTAAGGACGCGCTACAACGGGCTAGGCAGGTGTGTATTGTGAACCCCAGGCGAGGGATGCCGCTTCCTAGGCCGGCCTGGTCCCGCAGGCTCTCGACTAGGCCGCGGAGCTCCACCACCACCACTCTGTGGCGTGTCCAAGGGCGAACAGAGCACGCCCTGTAACCTGGCCTCGTAGACGATCAGGAGAACTCCCGCGGCCCAGTACCAGTAGCGGACTGAGGCAATAGTCGTTTCATGAGCCTTTGTAAGCGTTTTCCGAGAGGGTGCTCAGATCGCCTTACTAAGAGGTGGGAGGAAAGTCGTGTCGGTCCACCATTTCCTTCTCTTCTCCTGAATGGTGGAGTCGGGAGAAGGAGACTTCAGTGGCTCCCCATGCCTTCCCGCCTCCCCCGCAGCTTTTCTTGTTCTCTCGACTCTCTAGTGATGGGGATGCACTTTAGACGAGCGTAGCACAGGGCAAAGGCGGGAGCGTTGGCGCTTCTGGTTCTTCATCCCGCCTTGGGGGAGGGGGTGACTCCTAAGGTTTTCTGCGTTTAACGTGTAAGACGGTGCCGCTGTAAGATTCCAAGTGCGAGATAGCTGCGTCCATTGTGATTGCTGGGGCAGGTATAAGCGCTCGTAGTCGAAGCGAGGTTCTCTTTCTCACACGCAGGCAAGCGCATCTCCTCCCCCGTTACGTTGTTCACGACTCAGAAGATTTTGTGCGCTATTTCACCCGTCGAACCAAATGAAATCTTCCGTAATCTCTTCAGCTCCAGCTCACGTTCGTTATAGAGTCTGTAGTGTATTAATGAAAAGAGACTGCTTTGTAGTGTTTCACCAGTTCTGATCCTCCGCCCTAAACTCAATTCATACGGCAATCGGAACATTTGTCTCTGCTGTAACTTGCGTGCCCCCATGTTGTTTTCTAATTTTTAGAAAATGGCCAGAGATACATTTTTTCTAGACGGCTGAGCAGTAGAAGAGAGAAATTTCTGAGTCATAGAAAGGATTTCCCTCATTACTGTGCCATTGTGGAAGTTCTATAACTTGTTTGTAGCGGGCATTGACGGAAATACTCCAAAAATGTTCATGCCTCATTTCCCTGTTCAGTGCTATATACTAGCTTGGAATGTCCCGGGAAGACAAATTATCTACTGCAATTTCATAATATTCCTCTTCAGTTTATTTTGCTGCGAAAAGCGTTCTTGTTCCCTAGTAACTTGTTTAGACAATTTGATAAAAGTTCAGTTTTCTGTATATCCTTGCAATGTACTGCAGTGAATTTTTGCACAAACTCCCTTAGAGCTGAGAGCAAAATCTACTTATCTGTAAGGAGGAAAGCCGTTTGGAAATATTGTTGGCTACATTCAGTGTGGATTTTCAGATGCTGTTTGACTACTTAATTACTAGGCTGCTCTCTTCAGATAACTGTAAAATCCTAGCATTTATTTTTTTTAAAAAATATGTTTTCACTTTTAGTGGATGTAGAGGGAACTTTTTAAAATATTAGATTACTTTATTTATTTATTTTATAAATTCATTTTATATACCACCCTCTCCTGACTTCACAGGGCTCAGGGCAGTTGTCCAACTTCAAACTGCTAGTGATCTATTTTTTCCAGCCAAAAGTAGCACCATGAAAATAAAGTTTCAAATTAGATTTTAACCCACTAAAGTTGGGTTCCACCGTGCCCCCCCCCCCAATTTATAATGCACCTTCTGTCATTTACTGGTAAGCAAAATCAAAACAGAGAGACAAAGATCCAGAAAGAACTGCGAACGTTTTAATTTTTTTTATTGAGTTATAACTTTCTTTAACTCAATAACTTTATTTAACTTTTATTCAGAGTTATTTCTGTTAAATGTAGGATGATCTTGTGCAATCTTTAAAACTTCGCTCTTGCTCATTAGTGAGACCAAGTGGGGCTGGTGATCTACTTCTGACCCCTCCGCGATCTACTGGTAGATCACGATCTACCTGTTGGACATACCTGCCCTATGGAACTGCATAAGATCCCACAGGGCACAGATGTTATTTGGCAGAGAGTTCCACAGGGTAGAAGCCAGGGCTGAAAAAATGAGGATGGCTCTGGTCAAGGACAGCCAGACATATTTAGGACTAGGGATCACCAGTAGATTATTTCCAGCAGAGCGTAGCGCTCTTTGGGGGACATACCAGAGGAGGTGGTCCTGAAGATAGGCACCAGACTGCTCAAGGCTTCAAAACCTTGAACCTGACTCAGTATTCCACTGGGAGTCAGTGCAGCTAGCACAGCACAGGTTGAATGTGTGGGGTCCCAGTCAGGACCTGTGCCTGCCGTATTCTGGACCAAGTGGAGTTTCCAGAACAGTCTCAAGGGCAGTACAGCATAGAGTGAGTTACGGTAATCCAGTCTGGAGATGACCATTGCATGAATTACTGTGGCTAGGTCACAGCAAGGCAGGAAAGGGGCCAGCTGCCTAGCCTGGCACAGCTGGTAAAATGCCATCTTAGGAACAGTCATGATCTGGATCTCTGTGAATAAGGAGGTATCCAAGACCACGCCCAAACTCTTGACAGTTTGCACTGGTATTGGAGGTGCACTGTCAGTAGTGGGAGGCTGAAACCCCAACCTTGAATCTCCCTCACCCTGCCACAGAACCTCTGTCTTAGTTGGATTCAGTTTCAACCAACTCTTCCTCAATCATCCCGCCACGGCCTCAACCATATTGGGGGGGGGGGTCTGGGCAGCTGCCCATCAACAGATAATAAAATCAGTCCTAATACCAAGTCCTTTCCATAATTATATGCTGTCCTGTGAATCATTGTGGTTTATTTCACATCCACTGTGAAATTAAAGGTTACTATCTTAAATGCATGCATGCTTAGAAATAAATCCCAGTGATCTCAGGATTTGATTTTCAATAAATATTCTGTTCCAGAAACACCCTAGATTAACTGGAAGGGGGTTTGTTTAAGTCCACACAACTTAATAGTAGCTCAGGCTTGCCTTGTGTCCCTTAACATTGCAAAGAGTTCACCAGTTCCATGGGTATTGGATAGTAGGTGAATATGGTCTGTCCTGTACATAACTTCTGTGGGATAGCTTTTTGCCCTGTACCAATGTATACCAATAATGTAGGTTGCTAAAGGTACAGGACAATCCTTAGAAGGGTATGAGTTGTATTTAGGATTGCAGTGTTGCTTTGTTCTTCAGTTTTCACACAAAGGACTCAGCAGACTAACGACCTTGCCATCTCTAAGGATCAGACTGCTGGCTTCTTGATTCAGTGTGTTGGATCCAGAATAAATTTTCCAGGGGTGGAATGGAACTTTTTTGCTTTCCTCCTGCCAATGCAGACCAGTGATCTTGATTAAATGCTTCTCCTGGGAGATAGGGGACCTGAAGTATTGGCATTGGGAGCAGGGCTTCAGTGGGAAGGTGGAATCAGTATCTGGGGAAGAATTCAGGTGATTGGAGACAGGTCAGTTCCCATCACACCACATAAGCTTCAGTAATTGCTGTGTTACTTAAATGTGTTGTAGGGTTATATGTAAATAGAGCTGTTGTCTCCACTGTGCTCTTTAGTAAGTAATATTTGCTTTTCTAAAATTTAAGATTAAACTGATTTATCAGTTAGTATTCTCTTGATGCGTCCTGAAAACCAAAAACTTTAATCATTGTAATGATCTATGGAAATATGTTCACCATTATACATTGTTAAGGTATGTGTAGCACTTGCAAACAGCTCAAATCAACGCAACTTAAAGTGTAAAAGGTTACTAAAGTGTGCTGTAAGGCAGAAGTGTAACCCTTGAATTCTTTAATTACTGTATTTTTGTTGAATAGGTACAACATTAGAAGATTAAATTTCTCCTTATGTTTTTCCCCCTTAGATTGCAGCAAAAATTGGAGGTGAATCAGGGACATCGGTGAATTCAAATGATTACGGTTATGGGGGACAGAAAAGGCCTCTTGAAGATGGAGGTATGCTGTCCATCAATACCCAAGATGCTAGTATATTCAGTTCTCAAAAACATCCTTTCACCTGTATTTGTATATGTGTCGAGAGACTGTGTGTTAGGCTACCTTCTGTCAGTTACTTTAATGATCATTTTTAGAAGACTGAGTAATCTATTTCAAACGTGAACGGCATAATCTTTATATATAACTTCAGTGGAAGTTATCAGGGCTTTGAGTTTGCATCTACTTTCGTGAGTGGATAGCAATGACATCACAATTTTTAAAAATCAGTCTTAAGGTAGGTGAAATATTTATAATTTAAAATGCGTTGTAGTATGCATGGACTTGAAATCTTTGTATTATAGGATTACCAGTTTATGTAATGCTCTTGATTACTTCAAGTTATGTTTATATGTTTGTAGATGGGTCTTTTCAAACTTCAGTCTGGTACCTAAGCTGCATTGTGTGCATGCAGGTTTTTAAAATGGTAATGCATTTCACTGAAGGCAAGCATTAAAAGCTAGATTTGGAAGAAAGTGCCTTATTTTAACCTTGAACTGATAAAATCATGTTGCTTGGGAAAACGTTCTAAAAGATGTTTCCAAAGGTGTAGCAAATGTCTTTTAAAAAAGAGCATTTTTGTGGTCTAATAGAGTTTTATGTTTATCCTCTAAAAGTACTGCGTAATATTTGTAAAATCCATGAAGAGAATTTTCAGATCTTGGAAGGGTATGTAGGTTCTGAGGGTTATGATTTAGTTTACAGAAAATCAAGGCTCTTGACAAGGAGTACTTGTGTACTTTATTAAAGTGCCTTTTTATTAATAGTGAGGCTTTTAATATTCAAAAATGAGCTAATGATGCTTCAAATGATGTATGTAATGTATTCTTTTTATTTTATGTGTAGATGGCTCTTGGACAAGTCCGAGCAGTACAACACACTGGGAGGGAATGCCCTCTCCTTTTAAAGGCAGGAATTTTTATTTATTACCTGTGTTTAGTATGTAAACGTGAAATGAACTAGTGGATCTTTTGAAATGGATGACACAGATATTTCTTGGAATATGTGTCTGACTTTTGCTGCACTTAATTATGATGGTTCATCATATCTGAATATGGGGCGGGAAGGAAACATTGGAAGTAATTTTATTATTACATATTGGTTATCTACGACTTTCACTCATACTAAACGGATTCGGATGGTAGTGATAGTACAGGCTTTGAATCTGCCGTTTTGAAGTCTTACACCGTGAAATTTTCAGTACTCAGCTAGGAAGTCTGTACAACAGTTACTAGATTGAGATTGTATTGCTATGTGTTGGTTGCATCTTACATTTTGATTTTCTATTTAGTATCGTGGTTGTTGTCAGACATAATTGTAAAATGATTATTTCTCACAATGGTGGTCCTTTCAGTTTTTGTTACAGAAGCATCATTAGCTTTAGTGTCAAATTACTAATAATACAATTTAAATGTTTGTTAGTTACTCTTTAGTGACTGGACATCCTTAATAGTGTGTTTAAACCTGTGTGCCTTATTAAACCATCGAACACTTTGTCTGATAAATGGAAGTACTTTGCATTTTTCCCCCAAACTACACTAACCAAGTGCTAAACATAAAAGATTTTTCTTTGTTTAGATCTATTCCCTGAAATTCAAAAACATGCTAAAATGCATTGGACAAGTTGCATTTTGCACTGCTGGAACAGCCATTTATTTAAGTTGTTTATATTCTTGACTCCAAAAATTTATGAAATTCTTAATTTTGCAGATCAACCTGAGCCTAAGAAAGTAGCTCCTCCAAATAATGACTGTAAGTATATGCCATTTTAACTCATTTAAACTGTTATGTGTATTTACAGAACGGCTGTTTTATATCCTGTTCTGCAGGTTACAGCTGTAAATTATTGAATTTATGTGCAAGTAATGGTTACATGAATACAGCAGAGCTGCTGAAATATTCTCTTGCCTCCGCTGCTTCTGAAACCGTGTTGTTCAGCTCTGCATAGGGATTACATTTGAGATAAACTGTTGAAAGCTCTAATGTGAATGTGCAAGGAACTTAGAGTTCCAGCCCATGTCTTCTAGTACTTTAATTAAAATTAAGAATTTTTCAAAATTTGACAAAGGATAATGCTACATGTTCAGTTACGTCTGTTTAATTCTTTATAGCAAATATGCAGTTAAACCACATTACATAACAGTGAAGCAGTCTTCCAGGTTTGAAGTAAATGAAAGAGAACATTTTGCACTGGTTTCATTGATCAGCCTTCTAACACAGGACTGTGCTATAGGGGTGTGCAATCATATCTACTGGAGCCAAAAATATACTGGGAAAGTATCAGCATTTTTCGGGTATATTTCGGCTTCCCAAATGTAAAATTTCGGCTTCCCAAATGTAAAATTTCGGCTTCCCAAATGTAAAAAAATACTGAGAAAATCCTGGGCGGTCCGAAAACAGCACAGAGGCAGGAGCAGATTGCCCTTGCCTCTCAGCTGTTTGTCAGGTTTCTACTGCACTCCCTTTAAAGTTTAAAGGGACTGCAAAAGACATCCCAAGGATCAGCTGTGCCAGGGGAAGCAGACTGTTCCTGCTTGGCTTGGGGCTGGCTTCTCATGCAACCTTGTTTAAACTGGGCTGCAGGGAGAAGCCAGCCCTAGAAGATGCTGTGGCACAGGGAGCAATCTGCTTGCAGGAGAAGCCATCCCAGCCAAGTCTGCATGCAGGAGAAGCTGTCCCTGGGATCTGTGTGCCATGGGGTGGACTCTCCTTGCTGCATGCAGATCTTGGGGCTAGCTTCTCCTACAGCATGGTTTAAACCGTGCTGCAGGAGAAGCCAAGCCAACTTCAGGATTGGGGTGGCTTTTTAAAAGAAACAAAAAAACCCCAGTATTTTTCTTCTCGGGTCCAATGGATGTGAACTGAAAAATACAGATTAAAAAAAATTGCACTCCCCTACTGTGCTTTAGAAACTCTGCATAGTCTAAACTTATGACTACACACTGATAGCCTAGAGATGGGGGTTCATACAGTTAATAACACTGCCCTAATATGAGATTGCTTGGAGTTGCTGTAGGCCTGGCTCCTTATTTTTCATGTATAGACACAGCTGTTGTAAGGGGAGGAGAGCTTTATTAATGTAGCCTCCATAGCACTGCTTTTTTTAACAGCAGGCTGCATTGTGGAGGCTGAACCTTTTTCAGATTTAGTGGTTTGTAGGCTTATTAACCTTCCTCTTTTTCCTTTTGTACATATGGGGCTGTTTGTGTCCTGGGCTTAAAGAACCAGTATGTTTCTTTTTTTTTAATAAAATAAATTTCATTTACATATCATAGTCAGAGAAATAAAAGGACCATGAAAAGTAGAAAAGAAACAACCTTAACATTATCAAGAAACAGAAATTTTAAATATTGGATGCAGTGAGAATTGCCTAAAACAAGGTACCCGATATAAACACATTTCATTCTCCAGGGTATGATGGAAGATATACCAGCTTCACAGGAAAAAACAAAGAGAGCACCAAAGTCTGTAATCTTTTTTTCCATGCTAGGATGGTTCCTACTTCTAAATAATCAAAAATGGGATTCCAGGTGTCTTTGTAGCTACTTCGTTGTGCACTGTGTTGTGAAATACAGAAAAGGGTTATTTACAATTTTCTCCAAAACACAGATCTCCCATAGTGTCTCATGCCATCTACCTAAGGACAGTCTAACTGGATTTGACCATTAAGCAGCGATCGTCGAATGGCCTGCTGCTAATAATTTGAACCAGCAAAAATATAGCAGAATTACACAGTGAAAGGAAACACCAACTATAAACTGTAACAAAAATCAATCAACCAACCAACCAATGAACAAATAAATAATATCTATTAAGGTACAAAATTTGACATAATCATAGAAATTACATCCCAATAGATAAACACAAGGAACCACTCCATAAATATAACATCATTAAACCATGCTGCAAATCCTTATAAATGTTCAACATAGATACATTGAAAGAACAATATAAACAGTCACAGGAGTTTTCCTCAAGCCAAAGGTAAAGAAGGCTGAAGACAACTTGCAATTACAACTTCATGTGTTTGCCAGCTTCCTAATTTCTGCGTTCCACAAATGCTTTATCAAAAGTCAATACTCCTGTAACAATAATTCAAAAGGAATCCACAACAATAAGACCAGTAAAATAGGGTGCAACATACTTTCAAAAATCAACAAACATTGCAATATAACTTACTCACTTGAAATACCAGAGTCTCTAACCAATGCTGCTCAGGATACTTCCTCTTAAAAGAGAAACCTTCAGATTTAAAGGGACCCCACTGTTGTTGTATGTTGCAGCTGTTACAAAAATTGTTACAAAGTTATACGAAACAGCTATAATCCAACTGTTGATTCAAACCACAGTATTAAATTTGTATATAGGCCTAGCTTCTTGTTGAAGCAACACTCTACATCACATCTATTATATATGTGCCCTTTAAAAACATATAACACAAAAAACCGTAAAGAATCAGATTCATGTTTAAACTGGATATAGCGATCCACAAGTGGAGCTTCAGGATTGTGGTTCCAAATATGAGAATGGTGCTCCAAAATTCTTGATTTTATAGGTCTAAGGGGACTAAGGTCTAATAGTACTCCCAATATACAAGAGCCCATACTCACATGTGACACAATACACACAGTACTTAGTATTACAGTTAGAGAACACAGATAAAATAAAGCCCATAGCGGGATGAGTAAACTCTTTAATTTCCAATGCCAGGGCATGCTACACATGTGACATTTGAAGTGACCACTAAGGTATAAATCCTGTCTGGGCATTTTTAAATAGTCAGAACTTGTAAGCAAATCTTTAAGATTGCTGGTTCTTTTAAGATCAATCTTAGGTACTATTTGACACCCTGGAATATCCTGAACCACATGCAGTATTGTTTAATCTTTTTAATACCCTGAGCATGTCTAGAATATTCAAAAGAACATGTTATACCATCACTGATGTTAGTAGCCGGCCTGGAATCCTTAGTCAATAATCCTCTCCTATCTGCTACTCTAGCTCTTTCACGAGCTGTATGAATAATATGGTCAGGATAATCTCTGTTATGAAACATTTAAGGAACAACATACCCAATGGTCAATTTTTGCTGGTGAAATGCAATTCTACCTTTTGTGAGGATTTTTTATAAAGACAGTGCGGTGTTGGCCAATCAGTTTATATATTGGGATGTAATTTCTACGATTATATCAGATTTTGTACTTCAATAGATATTATTTATTCATTGGTTACTAATAATTTGGAAACAGGTTTCCTTGTCTCTGGGGATTTGGATATCGTTCCAAATATCAAATATAAACAACTTCAGAAAGAAAGGGAGTAATTTGTAAGATTGCCTTTGAGACACCCAAACAGAAATGATAGATATTGGGGCATTTCCACCACAAGTGAATTGGAGAACCTTTTTGCCCACAGAGCTTCCAGCAACTAGGCCTGGAGCCCTGATTTGTTTTATGTAATCTATTGGGACAGAGATACCAATTTGCAGTTAATTTATAAAATTATCCTAATTGAATGGATAGTGGATTTATTCGAAGGTGAACTCCAAATAGCATCCCAATCATCTGTTGTAAATTCTCCAGGCAGTTTTCTCTCCCACATGTCAACATATGTTAGTAGTTTAGGGTATAGGACCTCAATGGGAATTTGTTATATTTTAGACAAGAGACCTTTCATAACCCTTGAAGATCCAGTTAAAAGGGTCTCAAACTTAGAGGTCTAAGGAAACCCATTTTGGTAGCGTAGGAAAGCATTATTGTTCTCATTTGAAAATATTGGAACCATGGTGCTTGCCCTTGTAGTTTTAAATCTACTTCTTGTTTGGTGAGAATTTTCTCTTGTCTATACCAGTTCCTGATATGGCCAAGGCTCGATTCGGACCGTATCCAAAACTTACTTATATCCAAACCTGCAGGAAGCCACCCCAAGTTTAGAACACAGGCCATTGGAGAGGGCTCTGGTGCTAATTTCCATTTAAATCTGTCCCAAATTGATAGAGTGTTTTCTAACATAGCGCTTGAAGTTACCGTCTGAGAACATAATTTAGGAGGTGACCAGATTGTGCCTCGAAAAGGTCACAATAAGCTTCCCCAATACTAACCGATGGTTCAGATGCTGGAATTTTCGACATTTGGATTAGTTGTGACAAAAGTGATGCTCAGTGGTAAAACTTCAGGTTGAGCAGATGAATACCCCCTTGATGCCTGGGATTGTACAAAGTTGAAAATGCTATTCTTGCTCTACATCCTCCCCAAATAAATTGGTTTGATAATTTTTGCCATGGATGCAACATCTTATCAGGGATAGAAAAATGGATAGTCGGGAAAAAATATAGAAGTTTGGGCAAAATAAAACTTTTAACTTGATAGCCATTCTTGCCATGATAAAATTTTATCATTCCAAGTCTCTAGTTGATGTTTAGTTTCTTTAAAAAGATTTCCTAGATTACGATCTATTATGGATGACAACTCTAACAGGACTTTAATCCCAAAATAATGCCAGTTATCTTTAACCCATGCAAATTCGTAGCATGTTTGTATGTTAAATTTGGTAGATTGAGATAGAAATATCAGGTATATTTCCGTCTTTGATAAATTAATATTTAATCCAGAGATTGTGCCAAAGTCTCTAAGCATAGTTAACATTTCAGGAAGTGATTGCTCTAGAGATGAGATATACAAAACAATGTCATTGGCAAATAGTGATGTTTTGTGCTCCTGATTTCCTAATGGTAATACCTTTAATTGCATCAT